AACTTGGATTTCTACGGTTTTTATTATAAAGAATGAATTATTTTTTTTATAACATTTTTTTATCAGTTTGTGTGAACTTTGTTTGTGTAAGCTTTGAAACTTTTACTTAAATACATATCGTCACCTGAAATGCAAAAAGTCATAACTAATAAAAAAATTCAAAATGCATTTTTTTATTTATATGATGGATTTCATCGAATTACAACTTCCCACATGATTTTATGAAAAAAAAAAATTAAAATAGTAGTCACGCCCAAAATGTATTCAACAAAGTGTGATTGAATTTGACATTGCTCTTAGAAGAGCCATCCATTTATGAATTTTGAATCGCTTCTTTATATTTTTTGACATAGTAGTACCTTAAAAGAGAGCCTATCTGAGTTGTCAATTACACCTTGTTTAATACGCCTTGTTCACGACTTTTTCCATTTCATTTACGATGTTGTTACGTTTTTTTTTGGATTTCTGGTGACGATATTATTTCTGTTAGAGATCGAACTATATTTTAAATTAAAGTTATTAAAAATAAATAGACATGATTTGCAAACAATATAATTTTTCAATTGTGGTGCTATTATTTTGCCCGCAACTGTACATGTGAACAAGCTTATTTGTTTCGGAATTGACCAAAATTTTTCCATAACTGTGAACACACCTTCACACATGCCTGAATATCTAATAACAATATAAAACCAAACCAATAACGCCTAATAATTCTACAATCGATAGATTACCTTATCAGAAAAAAAGAAATAAAAATTTTGCAAGCAAAAGTCGAACTTTGCTCATAACAAAATTTAATTGCTTATTATTTTTCAATAAATATTTTAAATATTTTTCGCCGTATAAACAATAAAGCACTGCGCACAGCGCATTTTCGCACCAGCAAAGAGCAACAATTTTTTTCAATTTTTTTTTTTACTCAAGTAGTTCGTGCAGCTACGACTGAGGTCAAGGTCGTTCTCAGTGGCGGCCGAGAACACTCGTAACTGAGGAGAAAGTACACTTAGCGCTCGCTAACTACGCCAGTGTTGCCACGAAGAAATTTTTTTACCTACCAAAACCAACAAATTTTTTGAGTTTTTAATTTTTTTTCAATGTCAATTTTATTAATTTATTATGTAGATGACATAGCATTTAATAAAAATATAACACAGGTAGTACAATACAAACAAATTATTTCCGTATAACTATTCATTTTACTGTGCCGGCTTATTCAAATGAATGTCTCTTTACACTTACATAATATTATTGTTGTTATTACTACGTCAGAAATACTCGCGCTGTGACCTAATCAGATCTATTGTGGGAAACCCAGCCCATAAAGCTTGCAGTCCGTCTCTAGAGAAACCCCATTTTATTCAAATGGTAGCTTAACTTGCAGTGTCCTGTCAGGATGCCAGTACGAGTTCCAATACTCTCCCGGCTAAGTTCAAGGAGTCTTTCGGAGTTTCTCCTGGAAGAACCTATGAATCTCTTTGATTGTCTCATTCCCTTTGATTTCCGCCAGTGGGAAGCAATATGAAATTCTTCCCAGCCCCTAAATAGTTGTGCAGTGTATCCTTTAGAAGAACAGCAGAAGCGCTCAGGACCATGCAAGCGCATTTGGGCTCCTCACTTTACGAGACAATCAGCCGTTCCGTTGCCTTCAAGCCCTTCATGTCCCGGAACCCACACACAGCGTTACGCTATTGTGGGCTCTCAGTTAGCTCAGAAGAATTTTACAGCTGTCTCCAAGCCTTGATGCCGTTTTAAGAAGGTCTAAGCGCTCTAACGCTGCCTTATAGCCCGAACACAATGAAAACGACAAGCTACGAACCACAGCTGTCAAATTATTTTACCACGTTTTCTTATGTAGATAATTATTTTGACGACAACAGGGCTACGCGACGACTGTGGTTGTGGCCAGATTAGAGCGATATATAGCGACAGATAAGGTTCTTCCTCTTCTTTTATGTCGAACTCATACAAATTTATTATGTCGGTGCCGCGTACAAAATAATCATGTCGCCATGGACAAAGCGTTTAGACAAAGAACGTAAATCTATAAGAAGAGACAACACGTTATAATTGTAACGAGTGGGAACATCAGGAGCGTGTTTTTGTTCAGAACTTTACTTTCCGACATAATATTTATTTTGGCCCCACTTGTCCTTCTACGAAGGCATTCGCGAACACAGACTCCGATTTCAAACACGTCCGCCTGGAACATGGGCATATACCCAGTCCATCGGCAGACTTTTCTGGGATCTTCATACAAATGCGTGCCCCAGTACTCCCGTCGTCCCGCCAATCATAGTTATTACCGCTCCACAGCAGTCCCTTTCAAGAAATCTGACCTTGTAGGGTTTTTATAAGGATAACTCGGAATCATCCAGGAATGGCTTGAGAACCTCCAAATGACCTCGAAGATCTCCACTTTTCATGCTGATTGTATTGGGCAGCCGTAGGTCGTTTCAGCAGCCCCCTTTTTCAATCAGAACAGACAAATGAGGAATCATGTAATGACACCCAGGACATTCGTTGAACAGGTGGGCATAGCTCCTGCGATCACCACGCAGTCGGTGCAGATTTTTTAAGGTGGCACTCGCATTTTCTTGCTTAGCTTTTGGCCACCCGGTCAGTGCCGCATATGTAACAATGGTTTTTACTACCGTAATGAGAGACGAGTACGCCAGTTTCCCATTAGCTTTTTGTTCATAGTTACTTCTAGATACATTGCCTTTTCTGAGAACTCAATTTCTGTCCCTGCCAAGGTGGGTCTAGTCAAGTTGACTTGAACGTAATCTTGGTATAAAGCTCAATAACAATATTAAAATAAAATGTTAATAAGCCACAATAACATTGACAAATGACTTTCCTTCTTTTGGTAAATGGGACAAGGGTGGACTTTAGTGGGTTTATTGGCAAGCCCCTTTCAGCGCACCAGTCTTCACGTGTGTACTTGAGAATCAGTTATATTTACATGTTATGGTTGCTAAAATGTTTGGAGATACATATTTAGGTAGGTTCTGCAATTCACTTCCGAGTAAGTTTCAACCCCTGCCAATTTGGAT